GCTCCATTGCTAAATTAATGTAGAAAAAATAACATAATTTGCAGTCTAAAAAAAGACTATGGACACAAAGTCAATCATTGCATGACATCAGGGACGTGCAGTCAGGGGAGGCAGGAGAGGCAGGGCCTCACCTCAGTCATCATGAAAAAGAAAAAGAAATTTAAAAGGAAAAAGGCTAAGATAGTTGCTGTCAGAGTCACAGTGAATGACTCTGCTTAGTGCTTAACTGCAGGAGGAGGCGAGAGAACCACGTGCCTCCTTTGCATAAGGAATTTTTCGCCTTTTAACCCTTGCTTAACTCTGCTCAAGTGATCATAAAGATAGAGTAAAAGAGGCACGTGGTTCTCTCGCCTCCTCCTGCAGTTAAGCACTAAGCAGAGCCATCCACTGTGACTCTGACAGCAACTACCCCAGCCTTTTTCCTTTTAAATTTCTTTTTCTTTTTCATGATGACTGAGGTGAGGCCCTGCCTCTCCTGCCTCCCCTGACTGCACGTCCCTGATGTCATGCAATGATTGACTTTGTGTCCATAGTCTTTTTTTAGACTGCAAATTATGTTATTTTTTCTACATTAATTTAGCAATGGAGCTAAGATTTGCTCCATTATTTTATCCCAGATATGATTAGATGAAAGGGGGGGGGAGCCTTCCTGATTGTAACATATTAAAATTAATTGATCAGGAAAGATGGCTGCTAATTGGCTGAAGTTAAACAGGACATCGCTAGGGAAATAGGGCTTCAGGCTAAATCAGGCATTCAAAAACTATCCCAGAAGATAATGATATCTGTAATGGTTGCTAGAAGCTATGCAATTACTGTGATAGTTTCTGCAGTTGAGATAGAACCAGGTTTGGTTAAAGGATATCTTTGCATTTTAAAAAAATACCTTTATAAAGTATTTTTACAAATACTTTGATTCCAGACTTAAGCATATTTAGATAAAATCCTTTGAAAACAGTGGGTCTTTATTCCTGATTAATTTGCATCAAATTGATTTCATTTATTTTCATTAAATAATTTAAATTTTGATCTAACTGGAGAATTAGTTCCAGTTTAAAGTTGTATTATGCGTAAAGGGAATACGGTTGGCACAAAGGTTGGCAGTTCGGCGGTTCGAATCCCTAGTGCTGCATAATGGAGTGAGCTCCCGTTACTTTTCCCAGCTTCTGCCAACCTAGCAGTTCGAAAGTACGTAAAAATGCAAGTAGAAAAATAGAAACTACCTTTGGTGGGAAGGTAACAGTGTTCCGTGCGCCTTCGGGTTCAGTCATGCTGGCAGCATGACCATGGAGACGTCTTCGGACAGCGCTGGCTGTTCGGCTTTGAAACGGAGATGAGCACCGCCCCCTAAAGTTGGGAACATCTAACACATATGTGCAAGGGGAACCTTTACCCTTATGTGTAAAGGTTTATCACATATAATGAAAGTATAGGATTTGATACATGATAAGAAAGTATTCATCATAGTGAGGATGCTATAATCCTAATCTACAAGTGGAATTTTTGAAAGGTATTTAAGAAAGCAAGATCCCAAGTTAATTACCTTTTAGGCTTCCTCTGTGTGAGTAGAGTTCACTTTTTGAGTAAAGCAAGAATTATATGGGGGCGGACCTGCAGACCAGGATTTTAGAGATGCTTAGGTGGGGCATGGGCAAAAAAAGGTTGGGAACCATTGATTTAAAGCCAATTATTATTTAGTATGGCAGGTGGGGTTGGAATCAAATTAAAAATATGAAAATAAAATTCCTTGATTATATTCTTAAATTAAATTTGCATGCTTCTTGAACAGGATGAACATTTCAGGCAAATCCCTGGTGTTTTCCAAGTGCATTATTTACTAAGTTACTGTCCCCAGGAGCCTGCATGATAATCTTGGTGTTAAGTCTTCAACAAGGCAAATGGAAATGCCCGCTGCTGGTAGGTTCTGGTGATGACAGACTTTAATTATTAAGGACAGTAATGATTGGACTTTAACTCAAAGAATAATAGGGCATGGAAGATATCACGGCTTCTATGCACTGTTGATGGCATGTCTATGTACCAAGACATTCAAGTACCACTAAATGCATTTTATACCTTTGAGATGCAAAAAGCATTCAGTGGTACAAAGATAACTTGCACAGTGTGCTGTGTGTATGTTCATTTCTACTTTCCATCATGTGTTACATACTTAAGATAATTTGTAGTGATAAAGGTATCTTCATTTCTAAATGAATCTGAAGTATTTAGGAAAATATATCAGAAGCTGCAGTTTATTTAATTATTTATTAGATTCTCTCTCCCCCCCCCCCCCCGCCATTACCTTTTAAGTTCCTTCCTTTTATTTTTCCCACAATAACAATCCTGTGAGGTGAGTTGGACTGAGAGAATGACTGGCCCAGAGTCACACAGTTGGCTTCTGTTGTATGTATTTGGGTTTTGGTTTTGAATCCAGGAGACATAAACATTGCACATTACTACAAATTGTACCACACCATTACATTATCATTTTAGTCAAACTTAGGCATGCTGAGTGTATAAGAGGTATTTTTTTAAAAAAAATCTTAGAGGATAAATGTCTTGGGTTGAAAAGGCAGGGTTAACAGCTAATTGACTTAGCTGTTGGAAGTGGAAGACACAGTAGAGAGCACAAAAATCATTTTGAGGATATATCTCTTTAGTTCCTTTTTAAATCTATTCATGGTGCTTAATTATTGTGGCTGGTGATATTATGTGTGTGTGTGTGTATAAATAGTGAACAAAATGGCAAACAATGTTAAAGTTTTACTACAAAATTAAAGAGTAGACAGAGATCTGGGCTGGAAAAATCTGAACAAGCATCAGAGTTAATATTTTTCTTGCTCTCTGTGCTGCTACCTAGTGGTTGGTTGGATAATTGCAGACCAGTTATTGTATTTCTATGCTATGCTATGAGACAGGACCCTCTAATGACAGATGAGATTGGGGGCAGTAGAGTGGCAGCACAATTGAAACATAAAATGCCCTGGACTTAAAAACATCACTGTTTCAGCAGCTTATGATATGCAATATTTGTTTATAAGAAGAAAGATCCCCCAAATTAGGAATGCCATTAATATATTGCTATCCACCAAAATGTTCTCAAATATTTTGGAAAGCTTTCCAGAAAATTTTAGATGACTGAAGCAAGGTGTTGGAGACCCTTTAATTCCTAGATTAAATTGGATTTTTTTTCTTGCACCTTTGCCTACTTATGTCAAACACTTTTTTTGCCAGCATGGAACTGAACAATTTTTAAACTATCCATGTTCTAAGTTTTTGTCAGACACAAAAGATTCAGCAAAATTAATGTATTGTTAACAGCCTATGCACAGACTTCAATTGGCACAGGAGTCAGTTAACACCTGCTTAGAATTAAATAAAGGTCAGTGGCACCCAAGGGGGGTTTGGACTTCGTTCTCTCATGGCTACTAAGTAGGGTTTCTAGGCTGATCTGTGTTTTCACTCCCCTCCCCCCTAGATTCTAACATTCCTTCTAGAGTTTTAAAGGCAAATTGCCTTGAAGAAATGTTAAGAATTGGTAAGGTTACAGAACATTATAGGAATATTTCTATTGATCTATTTCATAAGATAGAATAGTGAATCTAAAACTTCAGGAAGGCTTCTTATAGCATCCTTTTTATTTATTTATAAAATTTATGTATTTATTTATAACATTCATTGGACACCCATTTTACCATAGATTAACTCTGGGTGGCTTACAGTTACATTTACAGATAAAACATAAAAAGTTAAAATCAGTCATTAAAACCAAGGACACAAAGGGGGAGGTGCCGGGGTGAAATCTGCCTGGTTTGGCCCAACTGGTAGGGACGGCTGTGAGCTGCGCGATCTTCGGAAGCTTTTTCCCCGCTTTTTAAAGGATTTTTTTCCTGCCGGTTTGGGCGAATAGGCAGGAAAAAAATGCTTTAAAAAGCTGACGATTGTGCAACTCACAGCTGATCCATGCGATTGTAGGAAGCTTCCCCCTCCCCACTTTTAAAAACCTTTTTTTCCCTGCCTATTTGCCCAAACTGGCAGGAAAAAAATGTTTTTAAAAGTAAAAAAAAGTTGGCCATACCCACCCAGTCACATGACACCCCCTCCCCCCCCCAAGCCATGCCCACAGAACTGGTGGCAAAAAACAATAGATTTCACCACCGGGAGGTTGGATCTGTTTTGTTATTTGTTTTGTTTATAGAAGAATTGGGTGATTGTCAGTACTGGGTTATGGCTAAGCTGCACTTTAATTACAATTATTGGAGAATAACTATCAGGATCATTTCTTCTTGTACTTCATACATTAAGAGTCCTTTCTTGCTGATGTTTTCAGGAATGTAGGGATTTGCAGTTCTTTGGATTCAATTTACAAAAAAACGGCTTGCATCACATGAGAATGAAAAGCAGCCATGCCTTTTCACTGGATTGTTCAGTCATGGAAAAAGGTGGCTACTTAAAACAACAACTGCAGACTGCTGCTACATTTGTGGCCTCGCATGCTTTGAAATATTTTTTAAAATCAAATCCAAAGCAAACAGCTTCAGAGAATCGTTCATGTACCTCGATCCTAAGCATAGCAAAAGATTGCATCATGAGGAGGAGAGGAAGTTTATAACATTATTTAATAAACATTGACAAAACAAAGTTCTAGGCCACTTTAAAGAATGATACTTCCACTTTGATCTTTTAAGTATAGTAAAGGAATTGTGTGTGCACAGAACTGTAATCACTATCCTAGATATAACTATTGCTCAGTTATGTTTATTTTTTCCCACAAAAATTTTCTTCTTTGTGTTAATGATTTTATATTAGAATGAATCTAACCAACAAGTGATATGTTTGAACACAGCCTCTAGCAAATGGAATCAGAATGATAATGCTGGTTGGAGTAAACTTATGTTTATTGATTTTATTTTATATTCTAAATTTCCATCCTATTTATATTTAAGCAACATATTTACATCAAGCTACTCTGTTTAGAGACAGGCCTCATAATTGGCTGACAATCTGAGAATGATCCTGCATAATCATATGTGTTTAAATTCTGTAGAAAGTGGTGATGATTAAGGTAAATTATGATGGGACAGTGTTGAAAATGTCCACTGATTAAACATTTAACCCAGGTATGTCCAACCTTGGAAGCTTAAAGACTTGTGGACTTCAATTCCCAGAATTCTCCAGCCAGCCATGCTGGCAGGGGAACTCTGGGAGTTGCAGTCCACAACTCTTAAGATTGCCAAGGTTGGACATTCCTGATTTAACCTTTCCAGTGAATGCGATAGTACAGGTGCAGCAGATTTGAAAAGAAGGAAAGAGCCAGGAAGAAGGTGTCACTTCAGTGCACGTTGTACTGTATTTTATTCATTTGATTTAAAGAACCATTCTAGAGCTAAAACACTGCAAAAAATAGGGTTCAGAATTGTCTTATTCTGTGGATGACATCTTAGGCAACTAGTAATAGTAAATATAAGGAAAAACAATGTATTTGAATTTTTCTTCCCAGTCTGACGAAAACTGGGAATTGGTGATTCTAAAGATTATATACAATCCTTACAATACCATAAATCATATAAACACACTTTGACAAGTTGAAACAATGCTTTTTGCAGTATCTGCATGGAAAAATGGCAATATCCATAAAGAAGCACAAATCTCATAGTGATGAATTAGACCAGGGGTGTCAAACTCGTGCCATCACATTTTTATCACGTGACATATTGCAACTGCCCCTCCCTTCACTAAAATGGGGGTGGACATGGCCAGCACATCTGGCCTGTTGCCCTCGAGTTTGACACTCCTGAATTAGACTATTAGCAGAATTTCAGCTGACATAAATTCCATGATGACCACACTTCACACTGGCATGCTTGGAGTCAAGATTATTTCCCTTGCTTTTTTTGTTAAAGAGGAACAAGTTTATGCTGAAAAAGCTGAGGAACTAACTATATTTCTTGCTATGTTTGTAAAGCAATTTGGATGAATCAGGTATTTTCTGGGTAGGTTTAGTCAACTGATTTTGTTAATACTGAGATCCATTTCAGTACTTTGTTTTCACCTCTGTACGCCTCAGGAGAAGATTCTCATTCAGAGTGGGCCTTCAGCAAATAAACAACTTTTAAGCTTAACAAATGATAAGCCTGGAATGAGGATTGGAATGATGTAAGCAAATATTTTGCATCATTATAATTCAGTCTTAGGGAAATGAAACTGGTAGGCACTCTTAACCAATGCCATCAGTCATGGTGCTGCACACTGGGATTTTGAACAAGCCAGATAGTGTCCAAGAACCAAGAAAGATAACGAGCTAAGCCTGAAATGGAAAAGAAACTGTTGAATATATGAGAAACCACCATGAATGATTCAAGGGTTGTATTCCTTTAACTGATATTGCCATCAGATAAAAATAATACATTCTTCTATTTTCACATGCAGTTGCAGCAATGGGATTGCTACCTGCTAGAGTGTAAATATGTTTTTGAATTGGTCAGTGAGTTCCTTCACATGGCTAGGAAGTTAGCAGTTGCAACTAGCCAAGCAAACAAAGCACACATGACACAAAAAAACAACTGTACCTCAGATTCCAATTGGAAGCATTAAATATACAAATTTCTATCTAAGTGTATCAACGTTGGCACTTTTTCTAAAAGTTTCACAGCAAATGTAAGTATAAAAAGGATACAACATGCAAGATTTAATCTGTTCTGCTGGTTCAGTGTGAAAAAGCTCTATTCACTAAGTAGAAAGCCTATTTCACATGCTCCATACTTCTTATTTAGAAGCATGTGTTCATGCAGGATATAATGCTTTTCCTTGTTTAGACAAATTATTAGATCTGACTATTTTACTTTTCTAGCTATTGACCTGTGTTGAATTTCAACTATATGGTCAGTGGCTGTGTTAGCTTGGGAATTCTAGCCCAATGCATTTGTAAAATAGATACAATTGGTAATGTTTATCCAAATTGCATGGCAGGCACAGATATTTCCTATTATCTATGAGCTGATTTTTATATTAAAACTGATAAGATATAAGTACAATGGATATAAAAAGTCTATATAGATAGACCTCAGCTTGCAACAATTCGTTAAGTTACAGTGGCATTGAAATAGAGACTTATGACCATTTTGCACACTTAGGACTGTTGCAGTATCCCCACAGTCATGTGAACAAAATTCAGACACTTGGCTACTGACTCGTATTTATAACAGTTGTAGTGTTGAGTAACTTCAAAGATAACCTGAGGTTATCTGATCACCTTTTGTGACCTGACAAAGTCAATGGGGAAGCCAGATTAACTTAACAAACATATGACTGACTTAACAAACTGCATTGATTCACAACTGTGGCAAGAAAAGTCATAAAATGGAGCAAAACTCCCTTAACTGTCTTGCTTACCAACAGAAATTTTAGGCTGAATCGTGTTTGTAAGTTGAGGATTATCTGTACACCCCTGTTAAAATGCCAGATTTGTGAGATGTAAAAAAAGAACAGACCAAGATAAATCACTTCAGATTTTTTCCACCTTTAATATAAACTATAAGCTGTTCAATTCAATTGAAAAGCAAATCATTTAGAGGGAAAAATAAAAATAAAGCACCTACAATAAACTGGTTGCATAAGTGTACCTTAGACTAACATTTTTTTGAAGCATCTTTTGAGTTTATGACAGCATTCAGTCTTGGGGTAGGAGCATACCAGCATGGCATATCTGGCCTTGGGAATTTTGCCTACTACTTGCAAAATCAGTCAGATTGCAAGGGCATTTGTGCACAACCCTCTTCAGGTCACCCTAGAGATTTTCAATTGGAGTCAGGTCCAGGCACTGCCTGACCCATTCCAGAACTTGGATTATCTGGGGAAGACATTCTTTTGTTGATTTGGAGATATGCTTTGGGTCCTTGCCGTGCTGAAAGGTGAAATTCCTCTTCATCTTCAGCATTTTAACAGAGGCCTGAAGGTTTTTGTGCCAGAATTGACTGATATTTGGAACTATTCATAATTCTCTCCCCCTTGACTAAAGCCCTTATTCCAGCTGAAGAAAAGCAGCCCCAAAGCATAATGCTGCCACCCCCATGCTTCACTGTGGGCACAAAACGGCACTATTGCAAAACACAGTGTATAAAACAACACTGATGCGTAGTGTTGTTTTTACACCAAACATATTTTTTGGAATTATGGCCAAAAAGTTCAATCTTGATTTCATCAGGACCATAGCATGTTTTCCCCACATGTTTTTCTCAGACTTGATAATAGGTTTTTGTAAATGTAGCCGGGCTTGGATGTTTTTTCTTTGTAAAGAAAAGGCTTCCGTCTTGCAACTCTACCCCAGACATGAAGAATATGGAAGATGGTTGTCACATCTAGTACACCATCAGTATTTTCCAGAAATTCCTGCAGTTCCTTTAATGTTAGGTTAGCAGGAGCTAGGACGAGGACAGGGCCTCTCACCCTGTCACATGGAGCTCGGGTCTTGAAATAGGTACCATTTCAGTGGGAAGATAACAGTATTCTGTGATGTTATGCTGGCCACATGACCTTAGAAATGTTTTCCGAGAGCTCTGACTCAATGGCCTTAAAATGAAGATGAGTACTGCCCCCTATAGCCAGCAACGACTAGCAGAGTAAAATCCACAGGCACTCCTTTTTAACCTTTATTGTTGCTATAGGCCTCTTGGCAACCTCTTGGACCAGTTTCCTTGTTGGTTTTTCATCAAGTTTTGGAGGGACATCCAGTTCTTGGTAATGTCACTGCTGTGTCATATTTTCTCTACTTGCTGATGACTGTCATCACTATAGTTCCATGGTATATCCAATGTATGGAAAAAAATTTGTACCCTTCTGACTGATACCTTCCAATGAGATCCATTTGATGCTTTGTAGGCTCTGTACAGACCATGGCTTCTACTATAAGAGGCAACTGAGCAGATATCAAAATAATAACAGCAGCAACAATAATGAGATATCACGACCTGGCCATCGAACCTACATGATTATGGGGCACTTGGTATCATGTCCAAAATGTTTACAAAATACATCAATAAATTGCAGCTTCCTGCAATGACACCAGCGGAACTGCAAAAAAAAAAAAAAAAAAAAAAAAGCTACTCAGAACATTGTAAATCTTAAGAAGGTACTTGGTTGATACCTAGGATGCTGGCAGCAACCCATATCAACTATCAGCACCAGTCAATAATAGTTGTGATACATTTTTAAATGTTCAGTTGACTTAAGTTTTATGTTTAATGAATAAAGGTTTATAATAATAATCTAACTAAAACAGCTGGACATCCAGTTCTTGGTAATGTCACTGCTGTGTCATATTTTCTCTACTTGCTGATGACTGTCATCACTATAGTTCCATGGTATATCCAATGTATGGAATATATGGGCTTGATCAGAGTCACTTTAATTGATGGCAGGTATGTACTGTCAACCTGTACATGGCTATTTAACATCACTTTGAATGTTATTGGTTACCGTGTTTCCCCGAAAATAAGTCTTATTTTCTTTTGACCCTTGAAATAAGCACTTGGCCTTATTTCCGGGGAAGTCTTATTATTTTTGAGGTGCAGGAGGCGGTGAGTGTGGTCACCTCATGGCTGCTGCTGTGTTGCAATATTTTCAGGGAGGGCTTATTTTCGGGGGAGGGCTTATTTTAGCACATGCACTCAAAAGCCTGGTTGGGCTTATTTTCCGGGGAAGACTTATTTTCGGGGAAACAGTGTAATTCTGAACACAGCCATAGCCTGACTTCTGAAAAGGATGGGCACCCTTATGCAGCCATGTTATTGTAAGTATTTCATTTTTATTTTCTCCCCTAAAAAACTTAAAATTGATTTTCAGATGTTCAGCTTAAAGGTTGTATTAAAAGTGGAAAAAATTCTGAAGTGATTTATCCTGGTCTGATTTTTTTAAAATCTCAAAAACCTGAAATTTTAACCAGGGGAGTGTAGGCGTTTTATATCCACTCTATAACACCCCACCCCCACAAATTTATGTTTCACCTCAATCACATATTAGGAAGTGATATAAATTCACACACATACGTACATGTAACAAACTACAATGATTTTCAGATCTGAACAAATGCAGTCCTATTATATAAACTTTGTAATGTGAGATAAGCACATTCATATAATAATTCAAAGGTTTTATTTTTACTTTTGAGTGAATATTCCTTGTTGGACATAAAACCAATTGAGTTTTCTAATTCTGGTAACTATCGATATACCTAACTTTCTCCAGTTCCACACTTTCAAGAAATATTGGAGTACTGCACCCATAGATCTCCTAACATGGGGTCTTGTGAATGTTGGACTGTAAGTCCTACCTGTGTTATTTGAAAATTAAAAGGAACTCATAATCGGACATTTCTGGAGAGCATTGTTTGGAAAAGTTTGGAGTAAGATCAAAGGAGTGAAAATGACTTCTGTTCTCAAACCTTTCTCTTAGGTACACTAAAAACCTCAACGTGCAGGTAATTTTCGACTTACAACTATTTGTTACAACAAAGTTATAGCAGCACTGAAAAAGTGACTTATGACCATTTCTCACATTTATGACAGTTGCAGCATCCCCATGGTCATATGATCAAAATTCAGACACTTGGTAACTGACATATTTATGATGGGCAGTGTCCCAGGGTTATATCATCACTTCTTGTGATTGTCTAACAAGCAGAGTCAATGGGAAAGTCAGATTCACTTAACAGCTATGTTACTAATTTAACAAATTCACTTTACAAGTGTGGCAAGAAAGGCCATAAAATGGGACAAAACTCACTTAACAACTGTCTTGCTTATCAACAGAAATTTTGGGCTCAATTGTGGTTGTAAGGTGAGGACTACCGGTATTAAATATGAAAACTGATGAATTACAAAACTTGCTTCCTTATTTGGTCTGATATTTGGGGGGGGGGATTCTTTTTTGCAAAAATGAGATTTTGTCCTAATTCTCAGAATATAGTTTTATTTGCCCTGTAAAAGAAGGGATTTTTTTTTTAGTTTGTGTGCTTATTTTTAAATAAAGAGTGATGATACGCTAATATGAATAAACTGATCATTAGCATTTTATCCTGCTATTTCTCCAGGAACTCCAGGCAACTTACATGAAGATAGCTCTTCATTCTATCCCACCATGTTCCTATGAGGTAGGTTGGACTGAGAAAGAGTAACACCATGTGAGTTTCTGCATATAGCTGATGTTATACTTAAACCTGCATCTCCCTTGTTCCTCTATTTTGGGATATTAATCAAGCAGCTGTCAAGATACAAGAAGGGATGTCTAATTTACCTTTTCATTTGCTTTGGATGATAACTGCAGTAATTTTCAGACTCGAACACACTTTGCTAAATGAAACAATTCAAAGAGGCCATTTTGATCATGAGACTCAGACTCATTGGTAGTTGTAGGAATAAAATTAAAGCATCCATAACAAATAGCTGAGCAGCTTCTATTTGACCACATGCAACAATACAGAAATTATATAGTTACAGCATTACAGTTATAGTTATGCAGAATATTAATATTTTTGAAAGACACATTGTAGTCACTGTCCCATAATTAGTTTATTGTTGAAAATTTATGACTTCTACAAGACCGGCCTTTGGAGAATTGCAGAATCTTATCTGCTTATACAGTGGATTCAACTTTCTTGTCTCCATTTTTGGGCTAAAGGTTCCAAGAATAATGAAATGGATGAAACAAGGAAACATATACCAGTCAAAATGAAGGACCATGCATATGTCTGGGTGTAATCATACAGCCAACCTGTAAGTAAGGAATAACAGGGTTTGGTTATTACATCATTCTCATTTAGTGTAGCTGTCTTTTCATATCATTACTAATGCAACTCTTAAAAACCATGTAGGTACCTCAACAATACTGGCTTTGCATCATTTAATCCAAGTGACAATAAAGATTGTGTTTTATATATTAATCCACCTTAATTGGTTTAAATTGCAGGAGCTGATTTTGTATTCCAAGGTAAATATATTTCATCCCTTTAATATTTCTTCATGGCATGTTTATTAAATAATAATCTGTTTCAGTTTTTCTTTAACCAGTCTGTTAATTTTTCTGCTTGCTCAATCTGTATTTTAGGATCTACTGAATCCCACATTTGAGTACATTGTTCGACAGCAAAGAAGAGATGGAGGCTTTTTACAGTAGTATTGAGCTACGGAGTACTTGAATGGTGCAGAAGATACAGTCTTGTGTTCAGACTAAACATTCTTATACACCCACATATAAGGACATTTTAGTTTTGGTGAATTTTATGTAATGTATATAGAATGAATCTTGGTAATACTCTTTAATATGATGACTCACAGACTTTTAAGTAATAACAATTTTGAAAATGGGTAAAACACATCTTTTGAAAAAGTATTTACATTCATAGAAGCAATGTATTCTTATCCTATCCCTAACATTTATAGAATGAACTGATCTCTTATTTGGTGAGATCTCACTGGTGTACACATGGTTACTTGGGAATAAATCCCCAGGATCCCATAGCAATTATGTTGCGGAGGATTTTCTTGCTCTGGCAAACTATTAAAATTTACCACCAGAGGGCTTGTTCCCACATTAGAACAGTATGGCTCATATTTAAAGGACTCTGGAGTAGATCGTGTCTGAAAATCTGCTTCTATTGATTCACACTTAGATGGTACTTCTGTGTATTACATGTATGAATTGAATTACTAGGGGATCATAAGATCCTTGCCAGTCTAGTTCTCTTCATTAAAATAACAGCCATATATGGCCAGTTTGATGGTACTCATGTTGGGGGCGCCTGTGGCAGCCTGAGTGCTCTACCAGTGAAAACGGACTCCTGATTCTCCATTTTCAGCTGTAATGCCCTCCTGCAACACTGCCAGTGAAAACGGAGCTTGGGAGGGCCACAGATACATTTCTGGTGGTAGAGGCCCTACAGGTCGGTCCTTTGCTGTTTCCAGGGTGGCCCCGTAGGCCAGATCCTGTGGGCCTTGAGTTTGACACCCCTGCCTTAAACTATATATTTTTTTCTAATTTAAATCTGCAGCAGATAACTTGCACTGAATGAACTCAAATGTTAGAAATATGATAGAATATGCACATTTACCATTTACATATGAAATTCTGACCCTATTCTTTTTTTGAAGTCTCAAGTGCCTTAACATGGTGTATATGGACATGATCATATTTCTGATTATTTTACTTACTCTTTTCTGTTTGTTTCAGGGCTATGAAATAGGTTTTGAAACATATCCTGATTATACCAAATGATGTTACCTACACAATTATTTAAAAACAGTACTTGCCATTTTGTTTTTAGTTATTTTCCTAATAAATCCAGTGTTCATGTTTTACTTCCAGTGCGTATTATAAGGAAATGTTTACCTCAGGTGAAAATTTTTGCAGTTAAGCCTCTACTGTTTTAAGAATATAGGTTTTATTGGGCTCAAAGTATATAACCATGTAGTTTAATTGTTTATTCATTGTTTAAAAGTTCTGCTTTAGGTTTCATATCTTGAATCACTGAATCCACATCCAATGGATACTATTAATCTCAGTTATGTAAATAGGTTGCATGGATACAATTGCAATTTAAAACACATAGAAACTTTACAATGATTGTCTTCTGGAAATGAATCCTGTCTCACCAGTACTTCTCAAAATCCACTTTGACAACTGCACCATACCCAAAGAAAGCAAGACGGGTGTGGTTTTACCATTTTTGTTGCTAGTTGCTAAGGGAAGATTAATAAACAGCTAGATTTAAAAGTTAACACTTCTAAATATTTACTAGACATTCTTCAAGAAGTCTAAATCATGTTGTAGTTATTAATGTGTTAATTTTAAAACCTTACATTTTTTCTATTTGGCACAGCTCTTCAGAGGCAGTCCCTCCCCATTCCCTAGAATATGCTTTAGGTGTGGGTCCTGTATTAACATCTTTCACAGTGAAGACCGATGCAAAGATTCCAGGTAGAACCTGTGCAATTTCCCTATCCTCTTTCTGCATTTCTATTATAAAGGTATTAAGTTTCTCTGGTTAATTTCCTATTCCTGGTTTAGTTCAATAAACATTTTCTTCCTTTTTTCTCATCGGCTGACATTAGTTTTATCAAAACTTGTATCCTTTCCTTATTTTCCTCATGGATGCTAAATGAAATTTTAACGTTGTTGTTTCCCTTAGATTGTTAAATTGCGTTATTGGCTTTGAGCTTCTGTTAAAATAGCTTTAAATAATCATTTTAATTAATTCCCTCACTACATAGGTCATGTCATTTCAAATGAAATATAAGATCCTAATTAAGCTTTAGAAATTTAAACAAGGATTGTATTTCATCCACATTTGGTGTAAACTGGATAAATGTAACTATTTAGCTTGGGCAATGATGAAAGTAGACAGTGAAACTGTTAGTGTAGCATTGCACCGAAGAAAACATTAGTTTAGAAAATAGGATCTTTTTTCTATTAATATAAAATACTTGTATGAATACGAAAAACACACATTTCTACCTCCACCTATCTGTCTCTTACACACACACACACACACACACACACACACACACAGAGAGAGAGAGAGAGAGAGAGAGAGAGAGATGTAAACAAGTTGGTCTAGCTGTAGCATTGGTGCTGTAGCATGTTTATTGTTACTATTTATTCATGTTCCACTTATCAACATCTTTCCCAAAGGATATCTAGTCTGAACAATGGATACTTTCATTGCTGCCTTTATAAAAATACCATATTTTTCGGAGTATAAGACGCACCTTTTTTTCCTCAAAAAACAGGCTAAAAATCTGGGTGCATCTTATACACCAAATACAGCATTTTTTGCCTCCTGAAGCCCTGCCCCCTTCACCAAAATAGCCTTGCCTAGCCCTTATGGAGGCTTTCAGAGAGCTCCTGGGGGCTGGGGAGGGCAGAAATGAGCAAAAAAAATGCCTTTTTTGCCCCAGTCCCCAGCAGCACTCTATAAGCCTCCATAAGGCTATGCATGCATTTTTTCCCCCAAAAGGGCCTGTTTTCAAAAAAAAAAACGGGCCATTTTTTGCTCATTTTTGCCCCCCAGGGGCACTCTGCAAGCCTCCCCCCCCAAGGCTATTCATGCCTTTTTAAAAAAAAAATATGGGCCTGTTTTCGTGAAAAACAGGCCATTTTTGGGAGGTTTGCAGTGTGCAAAAGCTTTTTTTCCTTTTAGAAAGCTCTTTAACTGATTGATAAGAATTACATTGATCAAGTGCTGTACCAGCAGAAACAAAGCCTTAGGTGCTGCAGATTGTCAGCGATTTCCTACCTACCTACTCTTTCTCTCTCTCCCTACCTCCCTACTGTATTTCTCTCTCTCTCTCTCTCTCTCTCTCTCTCTCTCCCTCCCTCCCCCCTATATCTATCTATTCTCTCTCTCTCCCTATCTACTGTATTTCTCTCTCTCTATCCCTTTACCTACCTACTTAACTACTCTCTCCCTACCTACCTACTGTATTTCTCTCTCTTTCTCTCACTCTCTATCCCTCTATCTACCTACCTACTTTTTTTTAAAAAAAATTGCCTCTTCAAAACCTTGGTGTGTCTTATACTCCGGTGCGTCTTATACTCTGAAAAATACAGTAAATGCATTGTCTGTAGTACAACATGAGTGTTTTCCTTTATAATTAAGAATTGACAAATATTTTATATTCAAATTATTATTTCTAGGGCTGTGCAAAGGGTTCAAAAGGTGTGGTTTACAATGTTTGGAGGCACCCCTCTTTCTGTTGTAAAAGCAGCTGCTTTTCCTGAAAATCACAGAATTTCACAGCCTTTTACAATTGAATAATTTTTATTGTTTAAATACCTTAAAGATTGAAAAGTATTATCCTTAACCTACAAACATAGAAGTCAAAATCTATCTATATAGTTTACCTGGACTTTCAACCTTTTTTTCATAATTTCAGTGATGCATCTGTTTGGCTGATAGATATTTAAGATATAGCTTTTGGCTTTGTGTACACCCATACATTTTTTTGAGGAACTAAGCTACTCATTTGGACCTACAAGGAGATAATCTTATAATAGTAGAAAGGGATAATGCTCTGATATCTATTAACAAAAATTTAAAAGAAAATTATAATACAACTTTAGTACAAGACGGGACTGAGGAAGAAATAAGGAAGGTAATGATTTCTTCTCTGTAGTAATTGTAGCTGATACATTCTGCTATTACTCTTTACACAGCACTGTTAACATAACCTGGCATTTTATGAACAGAAAGAAATCTCTGCTCTTTACTAGAAATAGATTTAAAGGGTGATGAAGTGAGGAAGAGAGTAGAAAAATATTTAAATATGAAATGTAACACTAAGTATTACATTGCCAAATTGTACACAGGTAGTTTTATTTTCCCTTTGTTTACACTTTTGATAGGATTTTTCCTAAATGTAAATGCATATATGTCACATTATAATTTGTATTTTGAAAGAAAAATACAGTGTGCTGTACGGTTAGAATTATTTTTTCAAGGAAAGAAAATAATAATTATGTTACCTGCTATAGGAGGTCCAACAATAACTCCAAACCCAGCAATGAATGAGGCAACTCCCAAGGCACTGTGAAATCTGGCTGCGCCTACAAGATCTACCTATTAAAGGAAGCAGTATTTATTATTCAATAGACAGGTAAACAGATTTATCATAGTGCATGGAGAGACAGAGAGATTTGTTGTATTCTAAGCTTGATAAAGGCATGTTTTTATATTACTATAGATACCATTGTTGTAATTTAATAAAATTATAACACAGCTATAACAGAGCAAAACCAAATCATATGAGTTGAGGAACCTTAAAATTTCTTACATTGCCAACATTAAAAGACAAAAAAAGTCTATCCCTTGTTAAACATTCATACACACGCACATTTTAATACTGTATAAGAGTGAACTGTTGGTTTCAGTTTATGAACAGTGTCTTCTAAAGGAGCTAACATTTCAGATTCCTTGGAGGCTGCCAAAGCATCCTGGTGATACTGATAATACAGGTTTCAGTTTTACATAGTACAAAGTATATGTTGAATGCAAATCAAACTCAAAAGACAATATCTCAAAAATTTTAAAATAGCCACTAAAAATCAACAAAATTTTAAAATATTAATTCCTGTTAGCCCAACTATTCCAAAACAACTTCCTCTCTGCAAATTTCAGATTTGAACTATATCACAATGTCAATGTGTTATGTGATTTGGGATCATGTCCTAGCTGTTTGTCTATTAATAGCCAAATATGCCTAGCAGCTTTCAAAGCAGGAAATGAAGTCCCTTACACCTGACTAAATTTCGGAGGTGTTATGTCTTTGCTTTTTTTAAAAAAAAGTATAATGCCTCATTCCACAAAAGTTTCCACTTCCACTGGGAAGTGAAATGTTTTCAAGGGTAAAAAAACCCAAGAAAGTACAGATCAGTAAAACTCATAATAAATTAGGATCAGTAAAAAGCATTTTCAGTGTTTCAGTGCAATTCTTTCTCTGCCTCTTAAATTCATGTTTCTTACTGGACCTGAAACATGCAATTCTCCAGTTCTCTAGCATTGACTGAATTGAAGCAAATTTCATCATTTGGAAAGTGCTACTGTTCTAATATTTTAATTGTTCAATTACTTTTTTCCACTTACCAGCACAGGAAACAGCAGTGCAAGATATCCACCACTGAAAATGGCAAAAGTTACAGAGTAACTCATAAGTAATGGGAAGGTGGTAGCCAGAGGACACAGCAAATTAGTGAGCCCACAAAGAATGAGGTATGTTTTATGGTAATGATATGTCTTAGTCCAGTTTTGATTAGCAATCCAGCCAGAGACCAGTAAACTGACTGTCTCTACTAACCCTAAAAGAAAACAGAATAAAAATACATAATGATTTCTAAAACAGAATTCTTTGGGTCAATAAGGATCAAAAAGAAGGAACTGTCACTTTATAAATTTCTAAAATTTATTTAGCACCAGTGGACATAAATATACCTAGCAATAATATCTAGATCCTAGTATCAGATTTTGTGTCCCCTCTATTTTTTTTAATTTTAATTAAAATATTAATAAACAGAAAAATTATGCTGCAAAACACTGTGAGGTGTTTATGGTAAATATTTATAAAGTGGTTTATAAACTGTCATTCCAAGTCTGAGGGTAACCAGATTGTTCTAATTCACATGAAGCAAAAATAAACTGCAAAATGGGAAAAATAGAAACAATCACTCTGGCAATTTAAAATATCCTTTTCTATACTACTTATAGACTTGCTGGTAGATGCTCACACTGGATGGCTGTGGCCTCGTTTGTCATGTTTCTTATTTGAGTGGTAAGTCTTCGATGCATTTATATTTTCAGTTCTATCGTTATCAAGATTCAACACCAAATTCCTGGTGACCCTAATTCCCCCATGTCTCAAAAATTGTCCAGTATGTTGTATGGAAAATTCCTGGATGCTATAGTAAAGCATCTTTTCACCATTGGAAGACTCTTTTTCCCTCACTTTCTTTTTTTTCTTCAGCTCCACCTTCAATTGACTGATGCCCAGTATATTTAATTATATGACTGTTGAATACTACATTTTTTGCTTTATTTTTGTTAGGCATATGGAGCTGAAGTTTTGTTTCTATCTGATACATTCATATCTGAGAATTCTAAACATTTCTTCTATGATTAAACTCTACACTTATTCACAAGCTCTGGTCAGTAATTTTATGGCAAAATGCTTTGTTAAATGAAATTGGAGTTTATAATCTGGAGTAATTTACCCTTAACTTTCTCCATCCCCCAAATTGCCCATTGGTAAGCTCTCTTGCTACATAAGGAGCTTGATTTTGCCTCAAGAGAATCCATTATCCAGTTTAAGGTGGATTTCCCTCTGATACCTCAGTTTCTTAACCCCTATTCTGCATCAGTGTTTTCAAGCAAAATTTAAAGGGTTGGTTTAAATTGAAAATAAATAACAAAATCATTTTAACTATTGGTTTATCTCTTAAGAAAAATATGTAATAAAGATGGAAGCAGTTTTGTACTGAGATGATTTTTTTAATGCTAATAAAATTTAAGAACATATTTTGTTGTTATTAAGATGGCTTTCCAAAACTACATAATTATAGAAGCATGCCTTTGAATAAAACGTCTTAATAGTTACAGCATAACCACATTTCATAAAGCTATATATTAAATATTTTTTTCCCAGTGTCATATTGTAATTTATTCTTCACTTCAGTATTCGTCTAATAATGGAGTTCAAATTTTGAATTTGAATCAATACACATTCCTTGATTTCTTTTGAGTTGACTTTTAAACCCTAAACAATTATACATTTTGATGTGCTTCATATGTAATTAGTGATTACATAATTATCATGATTTGCATTGATAGGTAATGGTGACATTTTACAAGAAACATTTTAAAAGTTCAAGATTTTTCTTACCAGCTACTAATATGATGTAAGCAGTATCCATTGGGTCAATACCCAATGTTTTGGCTCTGGCTGCAAGGTGGAAAGTTGGGATAAAATAGGCAAGCTGACTGAAGAGAAAAGACCAAGTGAAAATAAAGAAGAAGGGATTCTTTAGGTGACAAACAACAAGATGGCATTGCTTCTGGATAAAAGGCTGCACCCTAGATTTTCCTTCCTCATTTGATTGGATGCAACTTTGATCACCAGTTTGGTTATCATTCTTGTAGGCGTCCACACAACTGTTTTTCTGTGACGTTTCAGAAAACTTGTAGTTAATTGGGGCTAAATTATGAGACTGTTGTAGGTTGTCTGATTTAGCACATTCTTGATTGGGAGGATCCAGAATGTTCAATTCTCTGGTGCAGATTTTATCTACACTGCCTCTGGAAATCTCTGGAAACATAATTATTGTAACTATTTGGCCTTCACTTTTAGGATCTATGTCTCTAGTCTTTTTCTTATAAACTGGCCGTAGTAGCAGGCTAGAAGGTATAAGGTTCAACATGATGCCGCCATATATCAATAAGAACCCTGAATGGGAAAAGATATTTTTAAAAAATCATTAAAAAAATCATTACAGTCACAGAACTAACTAGCATATGGATAAATATTTCTTTTCAGGGTTATTTATTTTGATAATTTTCAAGCAGTATCCAACAATTTCCGTATTCTCTATGCTGTATGGAATCTACTTTAAGCACTGCCTGAAATTATGTCAAAGTTTTTATTCTCGTTAAAAGAAAAAGATAAAAATGAACGCCATTAGTAGTAGATATGGTAAATATCACTTTAAGTGAATAACAATATTAATAATAATGCATTTGACAATCCTCAGAGATTGCCCATCTTTCCGAGATGTCACACACCCCCCCCCCAAATACTGATGAACACCTTAGGCCAGAATTAATTTTTATATTTATACTAAGTGAAATTTAAAAGAAAAAAAGTTTTCTAGCTATTTAAAATGAACCTCTGTTTTAATCTCTAAAATGTTATTTTGACAGTATTTGTTTCCCATGTGTCTCACAAATTGTCCTGTGAGAAAATTAGAGCAATTAAAATAGAAAATCTAAAGCACAATGTATCTTTCCTTTTGTATCAAAAGGATACAAAGCAGATTTCTCATTTATCTCACTCAGGAAACTGAATGACTGAAAGAGAATGAGGAATCAGTTATTATTTGACTGCAATACTAAGTTTAACATCAACTTACTTTCACATATTAACAGTGTGAAGATATAAGAAATGAGGATGACTAACCTTGCCAACCGTACATTTCTATCAGGAATTGGACAAGGGGTGTTAGCACAACACTCAGCCCCATTCCCGAGCGACCAATTGCATTGGCTAGAGCCAGGTATCTCCTGAAATACTTAACTACCATGACAGCAGCTATCTGATATAGCAGACAAAAACCCAGCCCTAAAGAAAGAAAACATCATGAGCAGAAGCAGCATCTTCTGTAGGAATGTGTTTTTATTTCATTTCGTTAAAACAGCCTTTCATGAGAACATATAATGAATCGCACAAATACACAGTGTTCCAGGTGGACAGTGTTTAACTCTGAAGCTATTGCATTTTAGTCTTTACTTTTCCCCCCATAACAAGATAAATAATTACTTCCAACATACTGTTGGAAACAAAAGGAAAAAAAGATTGGATTGTTGACTGCTAACGTTGCATTCTAGAATTTCCATACTAATAGTCACAGACTAATCTCTAGTCTGAGGTTTGGTATATTTATTTTGAATGCAGTAATTCTTAATTTGAAATGATGTCACTTAACAAAAGAGTAACTCAGTTGCTAACATAGTACACATTTAGGGACCATAATTCTGTGATATGATACTATGTCAAAGGCTTAATCTTCTCCAGAATAAAATACATACAACAGACATGGAAACCTTAAAACCCTGGATAATCATTGCCTTATCAGAATCAGCATCATGCCATCATACTATATAATATTGCAATGTTATATGTAAATATCTGAACAACTTCTTAATGTGAAGTGATATAAAAGTAAGAATATATTTCTCACAATAGTGATATAACAAAAGCTTTTGTAATATTTTATCTTTGTATCTGTCTCCAATACAAGCATTCAATTTAATCAAGAACTTTTAAAGTTTTAAGGACAATGTAAAGAAGTACGATTGAGTACTCTCTGGCCTTGCCTCAGGTAAGCAATTATTCATGCTCCTCAAAAGATGATGTAGGAGGGAACAAATTAAATGCCATGGTTTTAAGTATTCCCTAATTACTTAAGGACAGAACATCAATTTAAAATAGTCAGTTATAGTAGGATTCCATTTAACAGCCTCAATTTAGCTGCGTGGATTTTATGCACTTTTGGGGGGGGATCCTGTTGTCCAAAATTCAGGCAGAAACAACATTAAAGATGATGTGAATAACTAAGACAGCCGGCTAAAAGCAGCATCTGACATTGGTTCCTTTTTCTGCCTTTCCTGAAGTACAAAGCCAACTGTATTTTTGGGCTGGAAATATCTCATTCACCATTTAATGGATTCCTCTTCCCTCTGAACTGTCCACTATATTGAGGGGTTATTTTTCTGTATTGCATTGAGCTTGTTTCCTTTTCTGTTTCACAGCACTGCCACTCCAAACTGATTACAGATCTCTTTGGTAGGGAATAGCTTTGTGAAAATGCCCAGAAAATCCAACCTTGGACAATGAGTAGGTGATACAAATTATCTTCATGTATAATTTCAATTTCTGGAAAGTTTCTGGAGGGGCTTATTAAATATACTTGATATGGTACGCTTACCTGTTAGGAGTCCCATAGAGACCCAAAGAAAAGGAATGCTTGTGGCCAGTGTGCTAACAAGAAAACCAGCACCAACCAGCAGAGCCCCTAACAAGGAAGTTTTCCGTTCTCCTAGCATTTCACACACTGTAGTTACCAGAGGTGCTGGAAAAGAGCAGATGGAAATTGGCATTAATGACAGCTTGAGAAATAGATACCACTTCTGGGACAGAAAACACTGAGGTGAAAATATTTAAGCTTTAAGGAACTACCAAACTACCTATTTTTGTTCATTAAACTTACAATGGTTTTTATAAAGACTTTGATTTATGAAAAGTACACATGAAAACTCTAATGTGTGAGCTATGGTCAGTAAACAAGATTGGTGAATGACTAAAAGTTGGGAAAATAGTTTTAACTCACAGAGATATAGGTAGGGATTTGGGGGTTAGGCTTTGCAAGCATATTTGGCATTCTGAGTAAGAGTACACTGACACTTCCCCCAGCTCTAGGGGAAGACTTCGCAAATTGGACACTGATCATGAACTGACCTTACACTAACATAATCTCAGCACAGTCCAGTGAAATGCATTTAAGCATGCACTTAAACCAATATTATACCAACCTGCTAGGAATCGAAGTGAGGACATAATGGAACCAATCCAGCTGACATGTTCAGAAGAGCCACCAATGTCTTCTTGAAAAGCCACAAAGAAAATGGCAAAGTTTTTCAGTGTTCCAATCACAAATACATTTACCTACAAAAATCATCCGTATCACATTAATTGAAATGCAAAATGGAGTATTAATTGACACTCTATTGTGAAACTCTGCAGTGTTATCTTTCAATGATCAGAGGATGAAACTAGGTATCACACTGACAGACCCAGCAGAGCCCAAAAGACCAGCTAGTATCTGATCTGAGAAGAAAAAAAATTAAGAGGAATGAGTGACCTTTGCTGAAAGCTTGTATTTCATGAATATTTTGAAACCTGTCATATGAGTGCTAAAATAATGATACAAAGTATTTTTAAAGCATAAATGTTATGTTTTGGACTTCTTTGGCTGAGCTATGACCTGTCGGTCTAAATAACATCACAGCATTTTGAGATGGTGAATAGAAGAAGGGAGGAAACGGCAAAGTTTTCATACAAAACTGATAAAGATCAGGCTGAGTAGTCCTGGGTTGGCCAAGAACACCAGAAAAGATGAATTCAGATATAATGAGAAATCAAAGCTATGTTTTGAACAATGGAATGCCCTCAGAATTTAAGCTAAAAAGGAAAAATATATCTGGAAGAAACTGGCTACACATTATAAACGTTAACTATAAGAAGTCCTTGGTTAACAACTGTTTGCATTTGTGATGCTGATAAAAAGTAACTTTGAACCAATCCTCACATTTACAATCTTCCCAAGTGTGTAAAACCAAAGGAAATGCGAAGTAGATCATAAGCATAGTATCAGTTTCACCTAGCGACCAAGTAGGCTGTCTCAACTGCCACTAAACGAGGACTGCCTGTTTGAACAATTCCTGCTTTATGCCAGGGCTCTGTTGGAGAAACGGTTATATAGACTAGTTTTTGCACACATGAAATCATTGCACAACTGTATGGAAAATGGTACATAGTTTTGGTCTCCATTGGCATTGCACAAATAGTTGTGTAAGTCAGGCATTCCCTGAAGTTTTGTTTTAAACTCATTAAAAATCATTTTCATTTCTGAAATGTTTCTTGCTTTCTGTCCTTTCTACACACATTCTGATTTCTAAAATATCTTTGCATCCATATATTCCCACCTTTTGTTTCATATCCAGTTAATATCTTTCAAAAGCAATATATCAGTGTTTACAACTCTCTAAGCGGTTTACAAAGTCAGCATATTGTTCTCAATTCATAAGAATCAAGCTTATTCAAAATTCTTTGGTGAGGGTTTTTTGTTCAGAAGCTGTTTGAAAGTTAAGTAACAATGTCAACTGTACCACTTCTGTCTATATCCTGTCTACACAGATTCAAATAATGCCCTCTCTCCTGTGCCTCAGTTTCTCTTTCCAGGCATGGCAGACAGCAAATGAGATGGGATGAGTGTTTAAGTTTGCTATGGAATTGACCCAGGGCCAGTGTTGCTGTGGGCCCACAATAGGACAAAACGTTTTCAGTCCCATTTCTAAACAGAGAAAGGGATGTGGCTTAGGTACTGGGCTGACAGTGGCAGGGCTGGGCCCTAGGCATCCTATTGGTCACCGTAGGATAAGGTTGGCCATTAGAAAATATCCTGAGAAACATAATTGTGATGGAAGAAAGAACTGTGATGAGGTTTTTTTGGCTTCCACTTTACAATAAAATCAACCTCCAACTCAACTAACCCATCAAACTTATACAGCCTGGGGCTAGACTTTTCTTGGCATTGTCTAGCAGTTGTGTGCTTCTAACAAAATTCTAAACAGCAACATTTCCCTTGCTGCAAAAACCCACATTACAGTGACACAGAATGCAGATTGTGAATTGGCCGTTTCTATTCTTTTAGAAACTATTCAGAGTTAAATAGAACTATTTTATTTTTACATTTGGATAAGCTTCTTAATCAATCCTTTGTATCAAGAATGCTATTGGGTGGCGGGGGGGAGTGCTCTAATACCCTTCTCCCTTTGCATTCAGTTCTTCATATATTTCTGCCCTTCCCCACACTTTTCTCTCTCTGACTTACACAGCTTTCTGCTTTTCTCCTGTTTCTCTGATACACCACACAAAATATTTGGGCTTTTTGACAAAGCCCATGGGCAGCCCTCAATGTTGGGGATCCCAGTATCCTTTTGAATCCCCTGTGAAAGCTTGGAATTGGCATTCCAATCGGATACTTCTACTTTGCAACCGGATAAATCTGGTTGGTAGTGACAATGGGGGAATGGATGTGCCACAGATCACAGACACAAAGGTATCCTCTCCCCTGTTCTGTTTACATCTACGTAAAGTGTCTGGAAAAGATCATTACTTAGTTCAAAGTGAGAGATGAGATATTAGGTATGTTGATAATACCTAATTGTATATCTCCTCCTTTGGCCAATGGGTGATGTCCTGAGTCAGTGCTTGAGGCAGGGTGAGCCTCAAGCAAAGGGTAAGTGGCTGTTCCCTCAGAAGCCTAGTGATGTCAAGATTATACCATCTTTGATTGTTGAAGTTGTGCTCCTTCAGAGAAAACAGGCTCATAATATTAGGGTTCTCCTGGTTTAGAGTTCCTGGTAAAATAGTAGATGGCAACCATGACTTGGAGGGGATTTGCTCAGCTCTGATTAAACTGTTAATTGTAGCCCTACCTGGAAGAGTACCCTGAGGACACTGAGCTCACACTCTTGTCATCTCTTGTTTGCTGTAATTCATGCTATATGGCACTGTACTATTTCCCTTTCTGTAGAGAACTGACACGCAACCAAAAGCAAACTTGCGTCACAGCTAGCCAGATGTTAATTTTTGGCAGTAGGAATAGAAAGCCACCAGTTTTCCAGATGTTACTTTCAGCATGATCTGGAGAGGGATATGTGATTGGTATATCACATTCATCACCATAAATCAGTTGTAACTTCTATACAGACCATACTTACTACGTTCTTCAGAGTAGCACAAATTGCTCGTTACCAGAGACAGCAGGAGTCTCATGGATTCATATATGCCATCTATTTGCCAAAATTTACTCAACCATGGTTTGTTGCATAAGCCAAAATGTCTGGCTAAATGCTAAAACCAAACAAAATTATAACTAAGCACAGCACATGATTTCAGCTAATAGTTATCCAATTAAATTCATAGTACTTACTCTAAAGAAACTAGCTCTAGAAAGATGCTAGTGTATGGATCTTGTACAATTTGTATTCTTTGATGTTTTCCATTCTGTTAAATCTGCAAATGTTTGATAAGTTTTTACCAAAGGGGCAACAATTCTTACTCATTCCTTAAGTTCTTTATATAGTTTCAAACACACAAACACACACACACAAATAAAATCAAGCGCCTTTTGTATTTGTCATGACTTTTAAGCAACACCAAACCATGCACTACATAGTACCGGTAACTTAGCTGCTGCTTACTTACAAGAAAAAAGTTGAGAACAATCAGCCAGCCCCATCCTCCATCAGGAACTGCTGTGCTTTCGGGACCTTTGCTGTTTTTATTACTTTCAATGGATTCTCCATCCTTTTCTGAACTCCAGGCAGTTGCTGCCATTGGCGTTATAAGAAATGTAATAACCAAGGCAGTCTGACTCTCAAAATGTGTCAGCACAATTGCTTTAATAGGTATGTGCTGCAGGCTTCCAGTGTAATCATTAACCAAATGTTTTAAAGGATGAAACATATAACTGAGGTGGAACTTTAATTGCTATCTTTAGTTTTTCCTCCTTTCTGTTAGCAAAGATTGGTGCTACTGTAGCTTGATGGCCCCGCCAATGCTTTTAAGTAAACAAAGATAGGCCTTTAAAGTAGGCTTGCGAGGCATTAAAAAAGTTGCTTTATAGTCTCTGGATTTTTTAAACGAAACTTTTCAACAAGCAGACCAGAATCAGATGAAAATAGCCCAAAGCTGTTACTTTTGTGGTTTGTTAATATTTGCAAGACCTGTTGCTGCTTCCTCTTTATTTGCTCTCTTCTCCTTTTTTCCGGGCATACAGTTCAGTTCAGTTCAGTTCACCAGAGCACCTGTAACCGTTTTGATCAGCAGGGGACAGATCACCTCTTCATCTTCTCCAGTGTAATATTTTCCCCTAGCAACAATGTAATTGAAGTGAAGATTTTTCTATTTATTAAAAAAACCTAGTTTGATCCATCTTTTTAAACAAACAATTATGGATTGTTTAACTTCCTAGCAAGTTTTCACATTAAACATATTGAATGGAACTGCTTTAAAAATTAACTTTGTTGTGCAAATATTCAAATGTTACTAATGAGCTTATATTTGTTACAAGATGGACAGGACACCCTAATAGATTTCTTTGTTAAGAGTTCTGACCCATCAAAGGGTTTCAATGGAGCTACACGTTATTTGTATTCATTTTTGTTGTTGTTAAACATACAAATCTATCTGACCAAAGTATAGTGGGTAAAACAATTTTATAGATCACAACTGAAACAAAAATATGGTTGTAATTCCAGCAATTTAAATCAGTTTCCCCTTTTCAATTAGGCCCTGCCCTTTTAATTCAGCTTTAAAAAGAAGTATGTTTCAGACTGAATGCCAATTGGTTAGACTGGAAAAATTACTTGCTTCTGAGATCTGAGATATTGCACTTTCTTTTATTTCATGGTTTAGTAGACTTTAAAACAATAATACTCTGCAGTTTTACATTTGAATAATCAAAAACCATTTCCACAAGCTACAGTATATCCTGAGAGATGGTAATTATCAGCCGCAGCCCAAAAGCCAATTAAGACTAACCCAGTGTTTTTCAAATTTGGTAATTTCAACTCCCAGAATTCCTCAGCTAAGGGAATTACATGTCTAGAGAAGTTGTCAATTTTTACTTTTCTTGCTGACAAAAAATAGTTTTGGAAATGGCTTGATACAAAACCACTAGTACATACTTAGTAATTTAACTTTCCTTCATTACATAAAAATCCTCAGTGATTTGGATTCAGGATGTTCTTCTATAGTGCAGATGTTATATTGCAGCAGAGCCAAGATTTGGTTAGATATTTTTTTCTTAGTGTGAATGCACACATCAAGACAGTAGTACTATGTTGTAAATTAAGGCTGTTAAACTCCCAGCCCGGAGACTGGATGTATCATGCACTGGCTACACCAATGGCTGTTTAGCGAAGGGGGGGGGGAGTCTGATACATCACATGACACCGTGACAAGGTGAGTTTGACACCCCTGTTGTAAACAGTGGCTTACTGCTGTGGTTAGTGATTGTAGACATAGTTTTGTGTTATTTTTTTCCTTTTTACAGAAACTTAATTGCAAGCTAATGAACTACCCTTTAACTACAATGCCTATGTGTGCTTTGCAGCAAGGAAGAGGCAGATTCAGTTAAATGTCCAAAGGACACAATACTCATCCAGATGTTTTCTTTCTCTATGGAAGAATGTCTAGTGTCCCAATCATATCCCTGACTAGCATTCAATAGAGCTGGGGAAATCTGTAGTCATCCATATTGTCAACTGTGTCAACATTGAAACTATCAGTCTCATACTAAAAAAAAATCTTTCCTGTTTTGCCCACAATTTTGGATGGTTTTACTTTTATTTTACCATTACAATTTAAGAGTTGAAAAAAAGGGAACAATAAAAATATTTCAGAATCTAATGCAAAACCCTGTAAGCTTTCTCCTGTATACATGGAGGAAGGAAGGAAGACTGAAGGGAAATTGTCTCCACCCCCAAATGTATAGTTGGGGAAGGTGTCTGAAGGGACATTGTTTATATTGGATTCTGCAGCGCTCTGCCCATATTCAAGAGAATGCAGACTCTTCTGGATGTCTGTGGAGCCACTGGTGCTCTGATGCTGTTACCTAGTATTGGATAGGGTATTGATATATCTGCAAGCAAATAACCAAACTCAAAAACAAGGACTCCACAATTCAACCTTGAGCTGTAGGTCATCCACCTAGGTAGCATATTTCTTTCTTTAGGAACTGCCAAGTATAAAGAAAGCAAAACCTTTATTCTGCAGCTTTAACAGTAAATCTGTTAAGACTTCCAGCCTTTCTTCTGTGCAAATCTTATCCATCCCAGTGATGTGTATTTACCAGGTAGCTGATTTGTTGAATATATGAAGATGTGTTGGCTAGTTTGTGGCTCAGGATCTAGCCAATCTAGCCAATAAAATAGATTTCAGTCAATCACAGTTCAGTACTCTAAATAGCATGTTGTGGAAACATGGTATTTACTGTTTCTGATTGTATAATCCTTTGCCACCAGTTTCTATCTCCATTTCCATTTTTTTTTAAATATTCCCTTTGGCTAAGTAGACTCTCACAATGCAAAATAATTACTTTTTTGGCAGAAAATGAAGGGCACCAGATTTCTTTCAATCTCTTGCTGCTAAGTATTTTACTTAGCAGTAACCTTAATTGAATTATGTCCCTAGGGCTTAACTCTGATGAACTGTTTTTTAAGTATAAGCATGCAAATTTACACTTTAAAATTTAGGGCAAGAAACATCCATGCTTAGTACTGCTCCTGTTGGTATGTTTTGAGTAGCCAGCACATAAAAGAATGTGATAGCCTCATCAACCACAATAAGATCATGACATTCGTTAATAACTGGTTAGAGAAGTTGTTCTCATTTGTTTTCTAGGTTACTCTTCAGAAAAGAGCAGTGCAAAAACCACATTGCTGTTATTATCGAATTCCTTTAAAAATCTATCAATATGCAAGGAGGCAATTTTTTTTTTGCAAGGTGGCAATATTTGAGCATCCTTGAGTGATCTAGAAAGTTGTGGTGAATTGGTCGTGATCAGTATTTGGAATGAGATAGGAAATCCAACTTATAGACTAGGATGAAAAATTGAAAAGTATCTCAGAGAAGGTGGCAATGGCTAACCTCTTGCATTTGATGGCAACAAAGCTACATAAAAATGGCCATGTAAATCACCAAGAGCCAAGCTTGATATGAAATAGACTTTTTGTTTCAATGGGCCAAGGAAGAAGACAAGATTTTCTTAACAGATTCTTCTGCTACATCAAAGAAGATGCACAATTTTTAGTCAAGATAGAATGCATTACTTGTCCTCAACATTTGTTTGCGTTCCTCTAACACTGGGGACATCTGTTAAGTTGCTGTCTCTCCAGCAATACATAAAAAGTGCTTCATTACTCAAAAGATGAAACGATGGAAGTTCTGTAGATACACCCTGTACCAAGGTAGGGAAGTGAGGATGTTGACAGATTCAATTGGGTTCTGGCTTCATGAGTTTGGACATCTCATTTGTATTAATTGGCAGAAGACAGTTCCACAAAAGTGATTTCTTGAAGAGCAATGAATACTGTGAATGTGCAAGATTAAGATGCCATTTTATGTACTGCCACTATGATGCCATCATGCTTCTGGATCATGATATTGCTGAAAAAAAAACCAACACCAAACAATAAATAAATAAGTTAAACTTTTTTTAATATTGAAAGCAAACACAAAATATTAATGAAAATAGTGCAGATTGGGGTTATTGATGATTTTATAATTCCTATAGTTACATAACGGGTTGAACCTGGTATTTTATTTGTTGAATTTATATAGCCACACATCACATTTGCATATGACTTTGGAGAGAATATACAAAACAAAAATTACATAATGAATACAACTTATACATTTAAACAGTAAAAACACTATAATAATAATAAAACATGAAAGAATGCAATCAAACTTATACCAGCCATTTAATGGACTCAATGTTTCCATGGGAACTCCACACCCAATGGAAAACCCAGGTTTATCCCAAACATATAGATCATGGGGATGATAAAAATGAATTAAGGATTCAAATCCAAGATTAAGAGCTGCAGTGGCGCAGTAGTTAGAATTCAATACTTGGCGGCTACTTCTGATTGCTGGCTGCCTGCAATTTGGCAGTTCAAATCTCACCAAGCTCAAGGTTGACTCAGCCTTCCATCCTTCCGAGATTGGTAAAGCAAGGGTCCAGATTGTTGGGGGCAATATGCTGACTCTGTGAACCTCTCAGAGAGGGCTGTAAAGCACTGTGAAGCGGCATATAAGTCTAAATGCTATTGCTATTAAAAGAGCCAGTTTGGTGTGGTAGTTAAGGCATTAGGCTAGAAAACAGGAGACTGAATTCTAGTACCACCTTAGGCATAAAGCCAGCTGGGTGACCTCGGGTCAGTTACTCTTTCTCAGCCCTAACAATCAGGAATCAGGCAATTGCAAACCATTTCCAAAAATAATTACCCATTTTTTAAAAAAATACAAAAATTAGGTTGAAAATTGCCAAGAGCACTCCAGAGCTTAGAGGCAAAAATAGTAAATGGATTCTCCCTGAAAGGGAAAATCTACATGTAACAGATGTGTTATATATGCAACTTTTATGCAAATTTCCAGAACCAAAAGAAGGGGAAAAGTTTTAACTTCTAATTTTAGTTTTTTGAAATCCTTATTCAAAATGACAATGATAAGGTCTGTTAAGTCATTAAACACAACTAAGGAAAACCATAGAATCAAATGAACATGCCTGCCCATGTTCTTTTTGGGAATTACACTGCATACATGTAATGGACTGGGATCCATCAATATTTATAGAATCATATATTGGTCTTTAAAACTGTATTAATTATGCTTACCCAGAGTCTGATTCAAGACATACAACAGGAATATCTGTTGGATCAGAAGTTAATTTTGCTGCTTGCTGGGCCAAAACAGATATTACACCTGCATGCTCATCTGAGAGGGTGCCACGACCTAGAAGATAACTGTGCATCATTCAAAAGAAAAATGTTCTGCATTTAGCTGTGAAGAAGAATAAACTTTCTCCCCAAATAATTAACTGTAAATTGCAGAAATTGTCTGGAGTTCTGACAATATATCCAGTTACTACTGGTAGTTGCAAAGTCAAAGTGCAATGAAGGACTGATACAGCTAAATAACATTTTCAGAAATTTTGGTTGACTTTTTGGCAATAAAATCCTGAAACAATTGGACTTTTGGATATGACCCAGCAAGGCTTTTAGTATGTCACTTATTTGCTGCAGCTTTACAATTATTAACTAGACTTTGGGTCTAGCAGAGGGATGGAAAGGTTGTTTAATGTGAAGTTGCTAATTTTGGCAATTCTAAGCCAGAGGTGAGGAAGGTTAGACTTGTTTGGTCTCCTTTGAAAGCTCCAAGCACCTTAGTACTTTCCTCTTATCCTTTAGGAAGAAAAAAGGTTTCCCTCATGTTTATCTTCCTTTTATGGTACCCCTTAATACAGGGATCCCCAACCTCCAGGCTGTGACCCACCTCTGGGCTTTGAGCTGTTCAGAACCAGGCTGCAGAAGTGGTGGGCAAGCGTGTGCATGCATCCCCATGTGCGTGAACAATGGGCAAATGTGTACACTTGCCTGTCGCTCTGGCGGAACCATCCCCCTCCCCCCCAGTCCACAAAGCTGAAAAGGTTGGGGAACTCTGCCTTAGATTTTAAAAAGTGCCTTCCTTCTCATTTCTATCTTTACTATTGTTTCAGTGTTTTCCCATTCATTCCCTCTTTAAACGAACAAAGTATGTACAGCAGTATTGGTTTTAGAAATAATTAAGTCAGTGCAATTTGTCACAGGATGAAAAGGGCTCTTTCCCTTGCTCAGTGAATGTGGAAGGCTACTCCTCTTCTCATTTTCTTTGCTAACAAATGAGCCAATTGAGTCTACATCTTCCTCCATGGCTCTTACAGGTTTACATAATTGTGGTTCATTGATGGACATTAGCACAGATAGTAACTTTAAAATGACTTGCCAAGTCTGGCTGAGTACTTTCTCTGGTCCTTGAATCTGATCACGGTAGACAGGAGGTTGCAGAACAAATAATCTCCATGGGCTAGCAGTTTCTCCATCCTCACCCCACAGGTGCTTTTCGAAAGGCAACAGGACTTTCTTTGTTTCTTCCTTGAAAACATTTTACTTCTCATCCAAGAAGCTTCTTCAGTTCTGAACTGTCCTGAACTGAAGAAGCTTCCTGGTTGAGAAGCAAAATGTCTTCAAGAAAAAACAAAAACAAAAGTCCAGTTGCTTTTTGAAAAGAACTTTTGGAATAACCATAACCTGGACACTTGGAATTTCCATAGACATTTTCCCAACCCCAATGTTACTCCTATCATTTGCATATGTGAACATCTGGCTGCTTTAACAGCACACATGCAGATGATAGGAGCAACTTTCATACAATACACTCAATTGCTGTATCTGCATAACAACAGTGAACCAGAAACTAAGAACATGCTGACTAAAATTCAGTTGGCTCAGTAGTTTTGCAAATACAAACTGCTGGAATTAAAACTAAGGCCCTTTCTTAGATAGGGGTGGGAGGGCCTTCAGACAGCCACTCATGCTCTAATTATCTCACAACTTGACTAGTGTGACATGCTCTGCACAGGTTGTTTGGAAGACTAGACAGAAGTTTTAACTGGTCCAAGATGCAGCCCTGAGAGCTAATCTAACCACCTAACCCCTGTTAGAGCCATCTAACACCCCTGCTTCACAAACTCACTGGTTGGTTGGCTTCCAAATGCAATTTAAGGAACTGTTTCCTATAGCGCCCTACATGGCTAGACTGCAGTGTTTCTCAACCTTGGCGACTTGAAGTCCTGTGGACTTCAACTCCACAGGACTTCAAGTCGCCAAGGTTGAGAAACACTGGCATAGAGCCTGGTTACTTGAGGGACCACCTGCTTCCCATAATATCTCCTGGTCAATTCAATCCTATAGTGTTGGAGTACCAGCTAAAAGAGTAGTTTACACGGGGGAGGGGGTGGCACTGCTGTATAAGGCTTTATTCGAAATTCAAAATAAAGACAACTGAGAAGCGCAGGGACGAAGCGCAGGGAGAAGACAAGCGGTGTTGGAAATACGCGCAGAGCTTCTGGAGGGGTGAGAAGGCGGCCTCTGACCCCCCCCCCCGGAAAGAGTCTACTTACAGCCCAAATTTAGCCCCTGAGAATCGGTGCAGAGCACTCCCGCAATGGAAGGATTCTTCATACTAAGGAAAAAGGAGACGGCACCGATGAGACTCGAACCGGCCAGAGGAAAAAACATCCCCCGCCCCCTCAACTACAGGCCGGCTACCCTTCTTTTAAAATAGAGAGAGAGAGAGAACCTGCCGGTCGTCCCGCGGGCAGGAACGCCGTCTTTGGCGTCACTTACGTATCTTCCAAATGCGTCTCCAGCGTCCCTTCCATTTTGCCGACCGCAACCTCTCCGGCAACCCTCGAATCCATCAGCTGATCCGGAACCATGTGACTGGCAAGACTCAGACGGTGGCTCGCGAAGGCCTAAATTCTTCGCGGTGAAATCAAAGCGCCGTTCGGAAAACGCGAAGAAAATGGGTTTCTGCGGAAAGGGGCCGCGCTTAAAACGCAGCTTGTTTAGGTTTTTGTTTTTGTTTTGTGCGGAACGCGCATTCGTATTTGAGAATTTGGATTTGTTTTATTTCGTCCGCGAAGACAGATGCCTCCTATCGAAAATGATTTTAGATTTTTGCTTGGGGTTGAGCTTCGTTTGCAACCATTGGTGCCTGCTTGCCCATAGCTAGGATCCTGATATTGTGTGTGTGAATAATAAAATAATATAGTTTTTAATTAGTTTTAACTGGTTTTTAATGGTTAAGGTGACCAGGTTTTCAGATTGGGAAAGAGGGACACCTTTGACGGGGGGGGGGGGGTTGATTAAAAATTTTATACGGAAAAATTATTCAGAAAAATTATGGTCTGTGCCGAAATGGATAAATTAACGAAAGAAATACAGCTGGGTGAGCTCTCCGGTGCCCCGCCCTTTCCTGCCTCCTTCCATCACGAACCAATCACAAACAGTGGTCACATTGAGGAAATGGGGATTTTATAGTATCCTACCCATGGAGTGGGGAGGGAATGTGGATTTTATAGTATCCTTCCCCTGGAGGGGGGAGGGAATGTGGATTTTATAGTATCCTTCCCCTGGAGGGGGGAGGGAATGGGGATTTTGCAGTGTCCTACCCCTGGAGGGGGGAGGGAATGGGGATTTTGCAGTATCCTACCCCTGGAGTGGGGAGGGAATGGGGATTTTATANGTTAAGAGCTATTCATAGAGACATACTCTATGAATAGCTTTTCTCAACAAAAATTCAGCCAGGCTATTACTTGACAGCTTTAAAACTTGTGGACTTCAACTCCCAGAATTCCTCCTCTCGCTCTTCACCTTGACGATGTGCGGACGGGTGGGGGGGGAGGAGGGAGCTGAAACCGGTTCTAAACGGCACGGTAGATTTGTGGAACCTCTTCTAGAGAAGAGGTTAGAACTGGCAGGAACCCACCCCTGGCGTGGACTAATATACTGCTTCACAGTGCTTTATAGCCTCTCCAAGCAGTTTACAGAGTCAGCCTATTGCCCCCCAAAAATCTGGGTCCTCATTTTACCGACCTCAGAAGGATGGAAGGCTGAGTCAACCTTGAGCCTGGTGACATTCGAACTGCCAAATTTCAGGCAGCTGGCAGTCAGCAGAAATAGCCCTGCAGTACTCCATTCTAACCACTGTGCCACCACGGCTCCTTAATTCAAGATTTTGAATTAAGAAATGCCTGAAATAAGTCACAGAAGAAGAAAACCTCTTTCTTTGCTCCTTCAAATTCCTTCTCACAATCCATTTGTCAAGGAACTCCGGACTTAATGCTGCAGTCCTCGTATTCCATTAAAAGAGAAAACTGTGTCTAATGGATGTTCCCCCATTCATTTCTCATCATCCTTGTTTTTCCTCTTGTCCTTTGTTTCCTAACTGTACCAAGTCTATGATCTCACCATGAAAACCTTGAAAATAGAGTCTTACAACAGCAGGAGAGAAGGAAGAAAAGTCTCTTCCAGATTTCTAATGGAGTTGTAACAAGAGGTTTTTTTAAAAAGAAACAACTAAACCAGAGGTGGGCTGCTGGGGGTTCACAGGGGTTCGGGAGAACCTCTAACTAAGATTCTATGCAGTTCAAAGAACCCCCCAAATCCCACTCCTGGCTGGCCATGCCCACCCCACCATGCCCAGGAGTCCCCATGTGGCTTGTTTTGGATGCAGGTAAGTGCAGGGGGCTTGTGGTTCCTCGGAGAGCAGGGGTGAAATCCAGCAGGTTCTGGAGAACAGGTAGCTGAAATTTTTAGGAGTTCGGAGAACCTGCTAATGCCACCTTTGGCTGGCCCCAGAGTGGAATGGTAGTGGAGATTTCGCAATATCCTTCCTCTGGAATGGGGAGGGAATGGAGATTTTGCAGTATCCTTCCCCTGGAGTGGGGAGGGAATGGAGATTTTGCAGTATCCTTCCCCTGGAGTGGGGTGGGA